TTCAGCCCGGGGACTTAGGGCAATACCAACACTGGCTTGGCCGGTGCTCGAAGCTGCATCGTCACCGGATAGGCGCGATAAGAAAGTGCTGCTGGTGTCACCTGAAGAGGATCGCAAAGTGAGCACTGAGCTCGAGTCTTGCAGGCGGGTCTCCGATAAGCAGCAGATATCGATCGAGAGGGTCTCTAATGTTCGAGCAAGTGCTGCCTCTTGACCGATCTGTAGCAATGTGCGTACATTGAGACATGCCAATCTGAAGGATGGTCGATGGCTCCAAATGGAAGTCAGTGAACTGAGCTTGTCGACAAGGCAGGAATGACGCTCCGCGTTCACATGTGAGTTGAAACTAGAAGGTAAAAGCCTATCAAAGCAAGGTGGGGGAGGGCCGAGGATTGGGGGGGGGGGGTAAAAGTGAAGCTGGAATGGGACGATGAGAGAAAAACGTAAGACGGGGAATAAGAAGATGGGAAGGCTTGAGCAATAGTATCCAGACCCTTATACACCCTGCTCGATGCAGCAGACAGGGCACCGTTGATTATCCTCTGCGGTGGCCAGAGCATCAAGAAATTGTTTGATGAAAGATTGGTAGTATTACGTGGGCATGATACTGTCAGGTTGCCTAGGCCTAGACAGCAGAACGAATAAAGTTCTCAACCAAAGCCTTTGGTCCAAAAACCTGACCTCAAGGCAGCGGGTTTGGTGTTGGGCTACTATGAGTCCGTTTTAAGGAATAAGGAGCTACTCTCATTCCAACCCCAACCGGGGGGACCAGGAGGCTGAGTTTGTCTGGCCTCTAACCATTGATTCATCTGGCATGAGTGGCTATGGAGATGAAAAAAACCCACCCAGCATAGCTCAATGGATCACTGAAGCACGCAAACCATCGCACCACGGTAAGGTCCAGCCTCATTGCGATGGCGTCTACTCAGCCCGGATGTTAGAGTACTTTGGCACACATTCAGAACATCTGGCTTTACTGATTGACAAATGCCTATGCGCTCACAGCTCGTCACGCGCGTCCGCCTAAGCGAACTGGGGTATTGGCTCACACAAGGGGTTAGTCAGAGTCCACGCTTGTGCTCCAACTTGAGGGAAAGTTTTGTTGACATCCCCTCCAAACGTAACTGATCGCGCTGTCGCTAAGGTTGTTCGCAGAAGTTGCACATGGATTTGTTGACAGGGTAGACCACGCACTTGTCTGTGCCGACCTCCGGGTGCGTTTCGGTAGACGCCCGCGTCGATGTGAACGGATTGACACCAGCCAGCTGGCGAAACCAGATGTTCTGAATGTGTACCAAAGTGTGCTGACATCTGGGCTGAGTAAGCGCCCACTAAACACCGTTGAAGATCACTGGTCGCATATTCGTCAAGCGTTGCTGTTAGCAGGCATGTCTTCATGTGGCGAAGCAAATTACCAAACCGGACATTGGGTCTCTACACAGTCTATGGAACTTATGGATGCTCGCCGACGTATTCCGGCTGGAAGCGAATACAATGAGACTCGCAAAAATCTCAGGGCAAAACTACGTGTTAGCCTAAAGAAGGACAGCGACACCTGGTGGTCTCATCGTGCTTCTGAGATGGAAGCAGCCACTGCCGTTGGTAATCATCGTAAGCTATTCCCTTTGATACGGGAAACAGGCAGCAGTAGACCTGGTGTTAGCGAGACAGTACGCGACGAGAGGGGGCAGCCGATCCACAACCTGTCAAAACGCTTGGAGCGTTGGGCCGAACACTTGGCTAGGCAATTTAACCAACCTGAGTTATCGCTTTCTTCGGGCATTGAGCGCCTTTCTCCCTGGGCCGTCTCCTTGGATCCGCCCTCACGCCAAGAAGTCAAACGTGAGGTCAGGGGCAGATGGAATTCTCCCAGCCCTCTTCAAATTCGGGTGACCTGCTCTAATAGATGATTTACACGAGTTGCTAGTGAAACTTTAGGAGCAGGAGACAGTCCCGACAGACTGTAACCGCTCCGTCATTGTCCCAATATTCAAGGGAGGCTCCCGTTTAGAGAGACTGAGACTGTATTTAAGAGCAAGTAGAAAGGTTTCTGTACAACTCTATCGAATTACGAAAAATCAAAATTTACTTGTGAATTATCAGCAGGTGTGTCTGGTCCGTTAATCGTTTATCCGTGTTAGAATGCGGCAATCATAGAGGGATCAGTCTGATTTCGATTGCCTCTAAATTGCTTGTCTCTGTCATTCTCCACAGATTGACTGGCACTCGTGAAAGCCAGATTCATGAAGAACAAGCCGGATTTCGTCAAGGTCGGAGCTGCATCGACCACGTCTTCACCTTGCGTCAATTGTTGTAGCACCGCCATGTTTATTGGCGACTCACCGTCTTCGTGTTTCTTGACATAAAAGGTGCCGACTCAGTCGATCTATGTGCTTTTGTGACTGTCTGCTGAGGAAAGGTGTGCCTAATAAATATGTAAGCATTATCTAAGTGATGTATGCACATAGTTCGGACAGAGTGAGGGTTTATGGCAAACGCTCGCCACCCTTCAGTATCACCAACGGTGTGAGACAATGATGCCCGCTGTCACCTTTCCTCTTCAACTTCGCTATTGATGAAGTCATGGAAACAGCGTTTGCTGGACACGACCTAAAAGGTGTGGATCTACTTCCTGGTGATCGACTTCTTGATAGAGTACGCGGACGATATTGCCCTGATCTGTGACAGCTCCCAAACATGCCAAACAGCACTGGACCGATTAGCACTGGCTGTCAATCATTTTGGGCTATGCTTTGCTCCATCGAAATGCAAAGTACTTCTCCAAGCTTGGCAGAGACCCAACCCTGCGCTAACGCTTGGTAGTGATCTGCTAGAAGTCGTTCAGGAATTCAAGTACCTGTGAAGCTATATTAGCACCCGTGGGATTGAAGATGAGGTTACGAACCGTATAGCAAAAGCTCGAGGTGCTTTTGTCAATATCCGCCAGCTGTGGCGCAGACGCGACATTACTCTTGCCCTCAAGGGCAGAGTTTACAACGCAGCCGTCCGTTCAACTCTCCTATATGGGTGTGAAACCTGGCCCATCAGGTCGACAGACATGAAGAGGCTCGTCACATTCGATCATTGTTGCCTTCGCAGCTTAGCTCATGTCTGGTGGGAACACCGCGTGAGCAATGAACGTGTTCGGCGTCGCGTATTTCGTGCAGGAAGAGCGAGTGAACCGCTCAGCACCATTATATCACGCACCAGGCTCCAATGGCTGGTCCACGTTTTGCGCATATCAGTACACCGACTCCCGCGACGTGCATTGTTTGCGCGTTTTGGGTGCGGTTGGAAGAAGAGGAGGAGAGGCCAAGTGCTGACTTGGTCGAGAGAAATGAAAACCCTCACTTCGAAGTTGGCGTCGGTTTGTGCATCGCGACTGCCTGGCTGGGGTCCTAAGGACGGTGAACACGTTTGGTTGGACACACTTGCTGATGTGGCTTGGAGCCGGCCCCAATGGCGTTTGTGTTGTGAGTTCCTTTGTCCATCCCTCTGCTGTTTAGCATCCCCATCCAATCACGATCTAACTTATTAGGCGTAATATGACTCTCTTTTACGGCAGCCCGCTGTTAGCTCTCCGGAACGATGTCCATTCGTTACTGGAGACTCAGCGGGCGTGCCACTGTTTGTTTTTTCGTTTCTTGTCTTTTGTATTGCGGCACAATAGCTGAGGTGTTTTCCATCTCCAGCTAACGTGCAATGATGATGATGATGTTTTAAATGCAAGTGAAGTTGGAACGGGAGGGTACGAATTAAAAGCCATAGGCATGGGAGTAAAAGGACGGGAAGGTTTGAGCAGTAGCAATCTTATCCCTAACTACCCCACTCGATGCACCAGATAGGGCGCGTCGATTATCCTCTGCGACGGCCAGAGCATCAATAAATTGTCTGAAGAGCAAACATACGTAATAATGAAAAAACTCGCAGAGAAAACAGGTAGAAGTTAAGTGTCTTTCACACGCCATTTTGAGAGTGCCAAAATGCCTAGCTCAGAAAACAATCGAACCACCCTGATTCATATTCTCACTGACTGTGAACACGCCGTTTTGTTTTTTGTTAGTTCAATGATTCGATGTTAATCAGTTAAGTCAAAGGATAACTTCACACAGATCTTTTACTGGGCTCGATCTGGCTTCACCTGCTCAGAGGTATTTCCGGCCAGTGATTTGCTTCATTATTGGACCCTCAGCCTGGAAGACGCACGGAATCGATGATAGTTCCACTGGAAGTCAGCGCCATGTAGTAGTTTGACCATCACACGACCTATCCCAGTGTGGTTCTATGCGAGCGAATAAAGTACAACATGGTAATCGTTCGCACGGCATACGCGAGACGTGACCAAGCTTTCCAAATTTGCGCAGCGAGAGGAAGATCCGTAACTACTTAACATCGTCTTTGCAAACGTGGTGCTCCCACCGCACCACAAACACCCGTTGTCAAAACCTAAAATCCGGCGTATATGATTCACACAAATCGCCCCGGACTCGCTTCCGTACAACAGCATCACGCGAGCGTAAATATTGTAGACCTTGTCTTTCACGTGGCAGTGGCTTCTGCATTCTGAATGCTATTTACTATCTCGCATTAAGTCACGCCTGCTTTTTGTTTCTCCGGTATTCGTCGCTCTAGTTATTTGTTTGTCCCATAGAAACTTCCCTCTTCAGCTTCACTCCAACCAGTGGCGGGGCGGTTCAGCTGCCTGACTTGGTGTTCACAGGTCACTGGTTCGAACCATGTACAGGTGAGAGCGATCTCACATCCCCCGCAGTCGCGTGCTATTGCTGTTGGTTTAGTGTCAGCGAAGCGTGGATACATTTTTCTGGTACACTGTTGATATCTCTCCACTTGGATCCTCGCTCTTGGCACTTTACACTTCCGGGAGGTATATTTTAGGTGCATCTTCTAATTTCAGCTTTTAAATGTGCAACCACTCACTGCTGTACATTGTCAGGTACATGAAATGACCTCGATTTCCATACTCCTTTTTATTTCCTTAGGGTATCGCATTAAACAAGCGAATTCATGACAAGTTCAAGTGAGTTTCTCGTTCATTGCTGGTCTACATCTCCTGTCTTTGGTTGTGAGCTGCATCACTACCTCTACACGTTGCGATAATAAAGGCATTCTCTCTTGCTATCAACTTCATTTATGTTCCATTGTGTTCCTAAAATTGCACCTTTGTGTTTGTGCTCCTCCAGGGTCTGTTTACGCTATTTCTTGCCTCCTGAATGGCCAATGCAAAAGGATCAAATCCACACCCTGACTGATATCGAATTAGCTAACTTCCCTCTGGAGGACTTTTTTGATCGATACGAACAAGGACTTCGTTCGGTGAGTCACTCAGACTCTTGCAGTTATCTCGTTGTATGCCACCGACAACTTTCGACTGTTGAATCTACTGCTCTCACACTGTCAATCCGCAGAGACGCATTTTCACATTTATAAACACAATCTTATTGCTCGTAATTTATAAATACTTCGTAAGCCCACGTAATACATCGATTATTATTTTCGTGGCACCTTCATGGTAGGTATACTGAGGTTTTCACACTATCTTATTTTTGATGATCCTCGTGTGCGATCTTGTTGTTTTGGCTCTCAATGGGATCGAATTAACCGCCCTGGTTAGGTACTGACTTGCTCTCATGCAACTTTGCTCTGGATCACAAATTGGGTAGTTCACACCTGTTCGTTTCCTGCGCCGAGGAACTACAAGTAACACTGATCAGTACGCATGAGAACGCACAGCGGATTCGAAGGAATGCATGGCACTCCCGGAACGGCACCCTTAAATGAGAGTTTAGTTGAAAAAAACACTGAGTTCTGCATAGCATACAAATTCAGATGACCGTCGCCTATCGTTCGTTTGTTAATCTTCGACCATCGTGTGATCTGAGACTGAGACTGTATTTAAGAGGAAGTAGAAAAGTTTCTGTACAACTCTATCGAATTAGGAAAAATCAAAAACATTTAGTTGTGAATCATCAGCAGTTGTGTCTGGTCGTTTATCCTTCATCGGTTAGGAATTTGTATTAGTGTCATTATTTCCGGGCATACAATGTCTTCTTTTGGCATTGTATGTGCGTCGTTTCACAAAAGCACAGTTTTCCGAAATAATCGTCGATATGGGTTTTAAAACACTTCACAGTATTGGCCTCTATTAATCCTTCGGGTAGTGTATTCCATAAGTTTACGATTCTTCGTTCGATACAAAGCTGATGTGATACCTTGTCCATGCAGAGGACCCTGAGTTTGTAAAAGTGTCCTCGGGTGTTACAGGGTTCCCGTAAGTGAAATATTGGCCGCAATATGGGGAAGTGATTTAAGTGTAATACTCAATGGGTCATAATAAGATCAATTCTTACTCGGCGATAGGATAGTGTGTAGAGTCCAAGCTTTTCACAACGTTTTTTCATACGGAAGCTTTTGTAGACTCGGTATCATTCTAGTTGCGATGTGCTGTATTTTCTCCAGCTTTTCAGTTTCCCATTGGGTTATCGGATGGTAAGCTGGGGCACCGTATTCAAGGATTGGTCTAATGAGCGAGGTGAATAGACGAGGGACGGTTTCTTCGGACCATGTGGAGAAACTGCGTCTTAATGCCAACAGCATACGAAGTCCCGCGAGATACAATTTCTCTGTATTTTTTAGTGATCTCATATCATGTCGTGAGAGAACTCCTAAGTCTCTGACAGATGTGTTGGGATGGAGCAACTAGCCGTCCAAGGTGTATGATCGAGTGGCTGGACGTCTGATGATACTGATGAACTCCGACTTGCTTGCGTTAAGAGGGAGTTGCATTTCAATGGACTACGTTGACAGTCTTTCTAAGTCATGCTGGAGGCGAGCGCAGTCGTCCTGGTTCTCAATAATCCTCCAGATTTTCAAATCACCTGCAAAAAGGGCACATGGTGACTGGAGCTGCTGCGGAAAGTCGTTGATATGAATAATAAATAATACTGGCCCAAGTACAGTTCCTTGAGGCACGCCACTAGTCGATGGGAACCGGTCTGTCAGGTAGTCGTTGACCTGTACTCTAGACTTTCGTCCCACAATAAACTCGTGTAACCACTGAAGTAACGTGTCACCGATTCTGTATGTCCTCAGTTTACCAAGGAGTATTTCGTGGTTCATTGTCAAACGCCATATTAAAGTCGATGTGCACCACGTCATCCTTCCGTTCGTTGAGAGCTCGTACCTACTGGTGGTTCGCGTATATCAAGTTGGTGATGCAGAATCGCCCTTTCGTAAAGCCGCGTTGCGCTGGCGTCAATACGTCCATCGATTCGAAGAACGATAGCAGACACTTTTTCACAACCTTCTCGAGCACTTTGGATAATACCGAAGTCAAACAGATCGGTCTGTAGTTCTCTAGTTTACTCGGAAAGCGGTCTCACTATCGAGCATTTCCAGCCCTTCGGGACAGATCCTTCAGAGAGTGATTTATTGAATAGGGTTGTCAGGGCTGGTGAGGTGACCATCGATATGGACTTGAGTATTAGTGGGTGAAGTCCGTCTGGTCCGGGGGGCTTTGCACCATCGAGGTTGACGATTATCTGATACACTTCGACTGCATCACACTGTAGGTTGTTGAGCAAGACTGGCGCAACCTGTGCCGGTACTGAAACCGCCGCCGGTTTACTGGAAAATACCATGAGGAAGTGCGTAGCCAAGGCGTCCGCGCGTTCCGCGCTTGAAATGAGCGTCTTTCCGTCTAAGCTCTCTAAGACCGGTAGGTAGCTCCCAGGTTTCAGTTGACGTTTCAAATAGGCAAATATTCTTTTGGGTGCAGTTGTGGCCGAGGATGCTAGCTCTTCTTCGAACTGCCGGCGTTTCTTGATCTTTGCGGCGTTACACAAGTTACGCTGTTCCTTGTACACCGTGTAATCTTCATCACAACCCGAGTTGGTGTATCTATCCCAAAGTTTGCGACGCCGTCGCGCTGTCTATATTCCGTATCAAACCAATGCGGTTTGACAGGTCCGATTTTCGAATACTTAAGGGGAACGAACCGAGTACAGAGCGAGTTAAGCTTCCCCTTCATTAATGACCAACAAGCCTCGAGTGACGCATCCTGTGGTAGTGTTCAATCAGTCTGACTTGCAGCTTGGACGAGCCTGTTGAAGTCCGTCTTCCAATAGTTGAATGTCGGCTTCCGTTGATTGTAATATGGTAACGACAGTTCTAAGCTTGCCACAATGGAGCAGTGGTCACTGTTCGCCAGAGGTTCAATGACTCTGATCTCGCTCAGCTTCTGCTCGCAGCTCGTAAACATTAGGTCCAGACAAGATGCCGAGTACGGAGTTACGCGCGTCAGTTGGATGACATGTTGCGTTGCCCCGATTTCAATAGTCAGTTTAGCGAATTGAGCCTCAACGTTGCCATGACCGGGAAGAAGTCGAACGTCTGGCCAAAATATCTTAGTAAAATTTAGATCCCCCATCAGTAAGAATTCAGGGCGGCTCATGTGCTTCTGTACATGTGGTAGCCAATCGCAACAACGGTTTAATGGGCTCCGGTAGATAACCCCCACTCTTAGTTCTGCGCGCCTGAGGCGGGTTGTGCACCACAACTGCTCGCATAAACTATCCTCCCTCCGATAGGTGCTGGTAAGTTTGCCAGATAGTGGCGATTTTATGTACAACAGAACACCACCGTGAGCTTTTGATTTTCGGTCGCATCGGAAACAAGAGTATCCTGACAACACGATATCTTGGGGTATGACGTCGGAGATCAGCCAAGTCTCTGCAAGTCCTAAAACGTCCGGCCGCTCCGAGATAGCGAAGCGGCACAGTTCGTCACGTCTGTTCATTAGGCTGCACACGTTGGCGAATGCCACACGGAGGTCCTGGGAGGTACTGCGGGACGTGCCTGGAGGTTGAGCAACCGGTTGATACGGGTTCGTACACCCTTCTTGATCACCCGAAAGTTTACAATTTGTAAGTCAGTCTCACCTTCCTCTGTACGGCGTTTGAGCTCAATGACCGCAGTCTTCAAACTATCTCTGTCTTCGGGTTCCAAGTCTCGACGGATGTGAACTTTTATACCTTTCAGCCTTGACAGAGGAGACAGTATGAGCTGCGGCATATTAGGATTTGCAAAGGTCGACATGACTGGTTAGTTTTCTGTCCAAGTCGGATTACTTGTTTAATCGTCACACTGTCTTCGCCCACATCCCCCTGGAGGAACTCAACATCGTGATCAGAACGTATCTGAGGATTTTCATCCTAGGTACGTGGAAGACCATGAGATTATGACGTCTCAACGAAATCAGTGATGAACCTGTGGAAGCAGAACTAGAGGCGCTTAAGTGATTGGGTTGTTGTTTATCAGCAGGTGACGTCTAAACTCGATTATGTGGGTCCTTGCGCTTTTGGGTGGTCCATGGATCCTCGGTGTTCAGAAGTTCACAGACAGGCTCTGAGAAATTCACGGACCGATCAGTGAAGCGGCATTTCGTAGCTTGCTAGCCTGAGTATTCCATCGGTGGGGAACATTGAACCTGAGGCTCGGCCGGGGTCGAAGACGCTGGTGGTGGTGCAGATCGCGGAATGACAATAGAAGGTGAGGTGACAGAGGTACTTTCACGAGGACGTTTGATCCCACGTGGTGAACGGTTTGTTTCTATCTGGTAGTTGTGTACAGTATTGTATTGATTCATATGTTTAATACTACAAACATTAAAAATGACAAAAAAGAGCAAAATCGGCGTATGAAAAACAAACTAAAAAAGTTTTGTTCTACTATTTGTCAAAATGTTTCATTCTCCCTACGGCATATTAGCTGAAGTGTGTTGCTCACCTTCAACTAGCATGTCAAGATGATTATGACTCGATGACTCTTGCTTATCCGCTGATCTCCATGATTTTATGTTGACAAGGTGCCTACCTGTCTATCACCCACTACCTCGTCCATACTGGTTCCAGGAGACAGTTGGTCGTTCCTGGAGGGGACAGGGTGCACGGTCCTTGTGGTCGTGTTAGGATCAAAGGGTGGTTCCATGCAGTCAGTGTGGAGCGGACTACGGTCCAGCCACCGCTTTGTGTGCGCTTGGTTCCCAAATACAGCGTGCTTGTTTTTGCCTGTGAATGAGTGTGTGCCGGCTCCATTGATGAAACGTGGCCCCCATCTACATGCCTCCCGGTCTTATTCCTTCGGGTTTACACCGGATATGGGGTGTGTGGATGTAGCTGTGGGTGGTGCAGCGCAAGCCATCCATAGTCTCTCTGTAGGCGCAAGCGTCCTGTGGCTGGCCACAGTGACATGCAAATCCGAAACCGGATGCCGCCAACCATGTCTAGTTGATAGTCTGTTGAGATTACTACTACTTC